AAGGGTGGAAGCTTATACTCAATTTCTTCATTTTGATCTCAAGCTAACCAAAAGGTGTCAACTGCATTGACTATACGTGTTCCTATATGTCGCAATAAATGAATAAACATTCGCGGTCTACTAATCACTCAGTCAATTTAAACGTTCGCTGTCTTTGTGCCATAATGGATGTAAAACGGGATCACTTGAGCGCGAATCGTTGCACGCCACTCGTGAATTGTCCGGCGCAAGTGAAGAAGATGGAAATGAGACGAATCATGATCGAAATCCTGATCGCCCAGTCTGATGGGCTGAAACGAATCGTGACCGTGCCACGCATCGGCATCGCCGGGTCCATCCGACGATCAATTCGCACGAACTAATCATCCTAAGTGGGCTTCATTAATAACGCACATCCACGGAAACGATTCGAATTCTTACTGCAAGGTCGAGATTAAGCAACTGCGCGCTGAAGCATGCCGCGTTACGATGGAAAAATTAGACGTTTCGAAGAATTTATTATATAGAATTATTGTTAACGAGTTAAATATTTTCTGTTTATAGCTGTGAGACGAAAGGAAAGATATTTCTTTTTATCCTTTCTTCCTTTTATTGTTAATAATACTCTGATGAATGAATTTTTAATTTTCTGTTTATAGCTGTGAGACGAAAGGAAAGATATTTCTTTTTATCCTTTCTTCCTTTTATTGTTAATAATACTCTGATGATTGAATTTTTAATTTCTTCCTCACTTTTTCAGTTCAGAGCCAAGTAATTGTAATTACAGTCAGTCCCATAAGTATTCATACCCTCTATATCTATTGAAATTTGCTTAATTTAAATGAATGCTTCATGATTCCAAATAAAATTGTAATTGTAAATATATACACGTGCGAAGTTCATTCATGTATATATTCATAATTGAAAGTTGATTTGGCAACATGAAACCTATCATTTAGACTTTCTTCGATAGATATAAAGAGTACGAATACTTATGAGACTGGCTGTATATTAATATTTTAGTTTTGTCATCGAAGAGTAGGATTAACCAGATTCTCCTCTAAGTCCAAAAGTGCAAAAAGTCATGAAATCCATCTACGAAGATTTCGATGCTGACGACTCACTCGGAAGATATCTCGGTCCATCAAAGTAACAACTCGAATTAAATGCGATGATTCGGCAATTTGCTTGGAAACATGCACACTGTAACTGTAACGTAATTAAAGTTGCTTCCATCTCGGCTTTCTGCCTTTCAACATTGTGATGAATATTGATTAAGCCACGTTGAAAGACGTACCGGTATTATTATAGAAGACGAGGAAGAAAAAAAGAAGCCTAAAAGAACAAGCAGAAGGTAATTCCTTTGAAGAACAGGAGAGTATTGTATATTCGAAAGTGTTCATCCGAAATTGAAATTATTTCGAAAAATCGCATTGCAAATATTGCACGAAGCACTCCGATAGACAGATTAGAAATTAGATAAGTGAAAGTCTCTTTAACTTCTCGAGTACCTAATTACGTCACCACACTATAAATAAAAGGGTGAAAGTCAGAGTGATGTAAACCAAATTTTTGTCAACAATAACTCCACTGTACACGTAATATTTATTTTTCAAGTTCTGTCCATGTTTCAAAAAATCAATCAAAAGCTCACCCAGTATCTCCGTGTCGCCGGGATACTCTTTCGAGTGAGAGTTAACAGGAAACAGGGGAACGCCTTCGGCGATCTCGTAATTCTTGAGATCCTCGACGCTTATCCCGAGCTGGCCGGCCATGGCGTAGATGTCTCTGTGAAGATCGAGCCTCTCCTGCTGCAGATCCTGTATCCGTAGGCCCTGGAACGGAAATCGAATCTCTTGCACGACCGTGGCGAATTACAGGTGACGTTAAGCGTCTCGGTGTACCAACCCTCATGTAATTGTGCAGCCTGTACATGTGCGGCGGACTTTTAACAGGATGCAGCGTGATCGCGCGGTGAACCTCTTTTTTCTTCAGGTTTCCGGTGAACGCTTGTGCACCGCTGCTGTTGTGGTACAGAATGGACTGCATCTGCAACGAAACCCATCCAATGCCAGCTGCAATTAAGATTAATGGGACAGAAATAGACGGACTGTCATCGCGACGGTTTCGCGTTTAGAAGATCTTCAATAGTCGCCATTATTCGATTTTATCGAAAAGAAAAGAAAAAGAGAAATCTGGATGTGTGGATACTGTGAATTTTACTAATTTCTTGATAAGATTTTTTTTATTTCCATGGTGACAAATTTAAGTAATTTAATGAATAATGAATTAATCTTTTATGGGACAGAAATAGACTAGAAATTGAATAGTCATGATTATACTTTTTTTATTAGCTAAACCATAAATGCGAAGGCCAAGAAAATTCTCGGAGAAACCTTGATGCGTGAATATCCTTAATTTCTCGATAAGATTTTTCTTTGCCATGGTGACAAATTTGAGCAATTTAATTAACGATTAATCAATCTTTTATCTATTTCCACTCATGAATTTTCAAGACTAAAGAATTTCCTACAAGATTGTAGATAAAGAGTGAAGGACGTGGTCAAGTATTCTCGAACGGCACTTTGATAATAAACGAATCGTATCGGATTAGCGAGTCCCAAAGAGATAGGAGAGAGGAGACCATATGGCAATTAGTGCAAACAGACCCAGAGTTAAGGTTAAACTATGAACTTCCTGTCGGTGGCCGACCGATAATAATTATTCCGAAGAACGCAAAGTTGCGTCTTGGCGAGACAGTGGGTCGCGCGGAACGAGTGTTAATCAACCCGTGAGACTGGGTGTGGTGGTCTCTGGTTACGCAGAATTATTCTAGTATTACATCTCTCAGGTTAACTCGGTCGTGTTCCGAGTCTGCTCGCTTCTATGTTTTCTTTCTGCGATTCGCGTATCTTGGAACACGAAAACAGGTTTGAGAAACTGTAAATTTCATTTCTGCAAACTCGCTTGCTGGAAAGTTTTGCAGGAAAATGTACTTAAAAATCACAGAAAATGGCATTTTACGGTTTTGGTATTTTCTTGAACTGCGATTCCCAGAAAATTTCTAAATTTTTAATGAACCAGTTATGAAACCATCTTTCAGCATAACATCTCCAATGATTTTTGATATTTTTGAATAAAAATTGTCGCGTTACATCTTCAAGAATATGTTTTTGAAACGGAGCAACGATTATAAAATGTATGGATCAAGCACAGAAAATAATTCGCGCATTATTTCGATCTCGAAAGGACCTCTTCAACAGACGATCGTGTGGAAGAATCGTAAATCCCTTGTCGTAAAGCTCGTCTCGATGAACCAATCACTTAACGGAGGGAACGTGCGAAAAGCCCAGAACAAACGCTTCGCAGTTATTGCATGTCGTACGTACGAGCTATTAAGTGTTTCGACCTTACGTCGAGTGTCAAGACGAGAACGAACGGGCCGCCAGTAGGTTGGCACGCTACGATTTGTTCGAATCTAACGAGTAACATCCTCATCCGTGAATTTACCTTTCAACAGAGCCGTTCTAACACGATCCGCGATACCTGACCCCCAGTGGCGCGTCAAACCATCACGGGATCAAGACGGAATTGAATCTGGAGACACTCGAAGGAGGCCATTCTTAAATTCAATCTCATTGTGTGTTAAGGTATCATTTCACCTAATATTAATAATATATGTACAATAAATTATATATTGTAGGAAGGTGTCTGTAAATATTTTGAAAATTGATGCAAATAATCAATCGTATATTTCTTACTTATTATATAATAAAGAGACAGCGTTTGTTCGTATGTACTTTCAAAAACAACTTTTAATAGATTGATACCAAATTTTAGGTGTAGCTTCCTTGCTTTTTCTGGAGTAACAGAGGCTATGTTATTTTAAGAAAAATGATATTACATCCGCGTAAAAAAACGTAAGAGTATGCGGAGCAGCTACTGCCTAACTACCATTCCGAATCGCTAGGTGGCCACGCGTTTGCATGATAATACAAATTCGTTTCTTTCTGTGCATCGTCTCATAAAAAAACGACAAAAGGTGTTAGAAATTCCGAAGGTCTCAAGCTAGTATACTACTAGTATAGCTACTAGTAGACAATATAAAAAGAAAATTTGATTACGAATGTACAATAGGATATCGATTACCCAAATCAATTAACAGAATTAAATATTTAACTAAACTCGACTAGAAATAGAACAATTTTACAATTTTAAAATGGATGGGTTTCACATAAAATATTATACAACCACTTGAAAAAAACGCAATGTTATGAATTAACTGCTCCTAGATTTTTTCAGAAATATTTTAATGATATGACAGTAACGTAGAAAATTATCTTTCTAAGCTTCAATTCTTTCTATACGGAACACATTTCACTCCGTCAAGGTGGCCCGCTTGCGCTCGAAGGATTAATCTCTTGCCCAATGATTTTTTCCCCTCCCGTTTCTTTTATTAGGATTTCCTCAATCCAGAATAACCGTTTTTTTTTTTTTTATTTTTAAACATGCAAACGAGACGTAAAGAGTTTCATTGGATCGTGTTTCTGTCGATGTTCCAGCAGCGTGACACAGTAACGTCGCGCAACGTTGTGCGTAACCGCGCGGTTCGATTGAAATTACTGCAAGGAGCAAGAACGAAGATTCGAGCACTTGGTGCCACAAATTGTTGCTTAACCGCTTCGACCTAACGCCGAGTGTCAAGATGGAGGAGAAGTGACTCGATCTGGCCACTGGGTTAGCAGGGTACTATTCGCTTGTACTTAACGACTAACATCCTCATCTGTGCATTGTACCTTCCGAGTTAACCCAATGATAGCGTACCCTGTATATGATGCAGATGTGTAGCTTATGTATTTAAACCTGTAATACGTATCGTGCGGAGCTCGCTTTAACCGCGCTAACATTGTACTGCTTCGAACTAACAAAGGAAGCACTCGACCTGCCCTCCCCCGCCCCACTCGCCGATTTTAACATACTTTTGCAGGATGGCAAATGACAGGTCTCTGTGCGTGAAGCAGTAGGTGGAATGACTCGATGATAGCAGAGATTTCGCTGCTTCGAACTGACAAGGGAAGCACTCGACTCTCTTAGGTTTTAACCCTTTTGACCGCGAAATGATATTTGGTGGGAATTGTTGGAGGTGTGAATTTGGAAAAAATATCACTTTATAGAGAACGAGAAGATTGCACTCTTTTTTAATTAAAGTTTTTTTGTAGGACGTTTAGTTTTAGAGATAAAAATTGAAAACTTAGAAGAACTTCTTCGATTCTTACGACGAATTTTCAACTTCTCAACGTTTCGTCTCATCATCCCCCATAAGCTGATGTTTTTTCAAAATTTATGTAGACTGAATATTTCTCTGAGCCCGTTTCTCGAGGACGTATGCATGTATACGTCCTTCGCAGTAAAAAGGTTAATAAGAAATCTCAGAAACTACTGAATCAATCCCAGAAAGTTTCGTAAGGTTTACGACATAAATATTCATACATCACATTTCACACGAAATTCACCATCTTCTTCTCATCTTAATTTCTAATCTATCTACTCTCCAGCTCCCTAAATAGCAAAACAAAATTACTATTCAATGTTTACTCCTTCTTTACTCAAGGAATCTCAAAAGCTACTGACTCAATTAGCTTGAATTCTCGAAAACACGAATATTTGCTGTCTTAATAGCAAAACAAAATGTTTACTCAATGTCTACTCTTCCTCTACCCAAGGATCCTCAAAAGCTCCCGACCCAATGAACTCGAATCCTCGAAACCATGAATGTTTGCTACAAGTTTGACGAGTACACGCATTACTTGAGCACCTGCTAACGGATTTCCTATCGAAAGATAGAATTTCCTTCGGAGTCACCGTTACCTCGAACGGGGATTCCATCGATGGCTGACTCAACGAGCAACTCCTACGGGTAGAAAGTAGCCAACGCGTGTACACGTAACGTTCTGTGGGATAACCCCAGCGTTCTAATGAACCGTGAGCCTGTGTCTATCGGCAAGTTACGTGCACAGAGTACTCTCGCAGCCTCGACGGCGTGTGCATCGAGAGAGATAGAAGAAAGGAGGACGACCGAAAATAGATTTAATGTTATGTGAACGGCAGAGAGACACGCCAAGCCGCTGGACAACATGGGGTCACGATCGTGGAAGAAACGGAACTCTATAATAGAGTTTATGACAGTAGCGCGGAAGGTAAATCTTTTAAATGATGGATGTACGTGCGAGGGGTGGAATTGAATTCAGCATTCATACACAGTACATTCGTACTGTTATTTCACATCTTGCAGTTCTCTTCAGGGTTACTCGAAACGAAGAGGATTTTAATTGCAGAACGTACATGTAAAAACCAATCATTTAAAAATGTTTAAATTGTTCAATTTTATTGTCTTTACTTTCAATTTCTAGACTTTAATTGAAAATTTGATTCTTTGGGTGAATTTTCTTTCCATTTAATTTGGATAATCGATAAAACGTAATTGCAAGACTTTGTCAACGAATCTTGCGTTAAGGTAACTATTAGAAGACAAAATATGACTTTTTGTTATTTTTGTGTTGATATAATAGTAAATTCAACGTAAATAGCCTGGACACCTCTGTTCTTCGTCACAAGAACACCAGCATCACCAGCTGAGTAATAGACGTCGCATGGTGCGCAAGCCAGATGCGCAGGAAACTATTTATCATCTTCTACCGCAAGGTGCAGATCGCAGATGTGTACACCGTTAAGGAGCAATCGGATATTTTAGTAATCAGTCAAACTATATATAAAAGATTCATGACTGTGGACGTTTATGCAACAGAAAATGAATTCGAATAAAATACCTAAATTTCGATGAAGTTATAAAAATAAATATATACAGATGACATATGAGAAGTTCTTTAAAGGGAAAATATAAATTATCTCTTCGTATTAGTACACGTTTAAAGTATATTCTAAAATTCTTCCAAATAAATCATTGACAGTGGTTTTCACTGAACACCCAATAAAATTAATTCTGAAAGTTAAGTGCCAAAGAAAATGAATTCGAATAAAATACTTAAATTTCGACGAAGCCAAGAATAAATATTTGATAATTTAATTTCCAGCCGTCTGTAAACAAAATGTAATCACAGTAGAAATTCCGAAGAGTATTGGTTCGTCTATCAGCGTGTTAAAAAATGAACAAGAGAGATTACCTCGTAGCTCCATGTGCAAGGTATGCCAGCGTACTTCTGCACGCACCTTCCCAATTCGACGTCCTCGTGCGTGGTGTACAAGTGCCTCAAGCAGTACTTGATATGCGGTACGATCCTCCTCAAGGTCTCCCTGGACAATATAACACCTGGTCCGCCCATGCAGAAGTTCTCGTCGTACTCGAGTGACAGCAATCCGAATTCCTCAGAGTTCCCTCTGCCGGCTTGACCGATGTACATGGCTCTCCTGGAGTCGACGGACCTCAGCAGCTTCTCGAGACGGTCTGTCCTGACGTAGACATCGTCGTCGGCCCTGAGGAACCACTCGAAACGATCGCCGTAATTGTTCCACATGTAATGAAGCATCATGAACGACTTCTTCTGGGGCGGGTACGTGTCGTCGACTCGCGGCAACGGGACCAAAGGTAGATCGGGACAGTTCGACGGGACGGTGGAGCTCTCGGACGAGAAGAACGCTATTTTCCCGGGCAGCTCCTTGCCCCAGGTCTCGTACACAGCTTTCGCTCGCGTGTCGAGGTACTTGCCGGCCGTCATGACACCCACGAAGACCAAACTGCTCGCGGAACTGTTTATCTGCTCGTCGTCGTTCAGCTTGGGAACGTTCCGCGCCGGGGGCTTGATTAGCACGCGTGGCCCAGGCATCGAGGATGCGTAAATATTGACCCGTTGGTGATGGCTCGACGAGAGTATCCGGTAGCTTTGGATGAGGAAGCCCAGGAGAAGGCCCACTGTCAGGCCAAGAACGGCGCTGGCCAATCCACGTCGTTTACGCATCACTGGGTGATACGTCACCTCCTCCATTGGTACTCTTCCGGGGTCCCTGGACCACCGGTTGGGTTCATCGTCATCTTTCCACTCGACGACGTCTTCTTCGAGGATTTCACCGTGAAAATTAACGCGATCGTCGGGAACTCTGCGGACGATCCCATTGCTCCTCTCGACACCACCGAGCACGAGCTTCCCTCAGACCTGTTGATCGTCAAAACATTGCGTTGGTTATCT